ATAAATAAAATGCCTACATAGAAGTACCTTACTTCCTGGCACTTTGTGTGGCGACTCCTTAGGCAAAGACTCAATAACTGTTCTTAAAACCAAACACCTGTATTCCAACATTTTACACAGCAAACTTCAGCACTGCTTGTGCATAGCATACTATTGCAATCTACTTTCATCTCCAGGATTGGGGCAGTGGGATCTTAAGTGGCCATAATGTCCACAAACAGCTGTCAGGTCACATTCTTATGAAAGAAACTGCATCCTGTAAAAGGGAAGGAGAGTCTTATATGCTGGGCATTAACACAAAGTGCATTGCATTGCTTTTAGGGCAGCTGAAGAAGCCTTTGTGAATGATGCAGAAGACGTTTTTCCGGGCACTGAGTGGGAACGTGTGGCTCAGCTCTGTGACTTTAATCCCAAGTCTAGTAAGCAGGCAAAAGATGTGTCCCGCATGCGTTCAGTCCTCATCTCACTCAAGCAGGCTCCGCTGGTTCGCTGAAGCAAAGCTCAATGGAAACACTACAAATGCAATATCTTAACCTTACCCAGAGAAGCTATGTTTGCAGTAATTTGATTAATTGTTTCAATGTGTTTTTTTGGACAACATCATGATGTATCTAGATCTGATCATTGTTTGATTGCATGTTCTTCCCAACGTTTCCTTTCTGTGTCTGAAATGGGAGAACCTCCAAAACTGTAGTCTCTGTGCTGTTGTGCACTGAGGTGTCACTTCCCACATTATTGATATTAAAGATCTGTTAAACAGCAAAATGTGTTTTTGACTTTGGATGAATTAAGGTGGTGTCCTGCTCCCTTTTGACAGATGGTGTTTGAATTGGGTGTGAGCAAACATTTCTCATAATGGCTAGTGATTTCACCTTGTTGCTGACTAGTCCAGACAGCAGTGCTCCTGGTCTCTGCGAGGCTGTCCTGCTTGTTTCATTAAGCTTTCTTAAAGCTCTTGAGGGCTTTAGTTTAAAAACTGCTCCCCTATCCAATTTATCACACTAGATGAAAGCTCTAGGAAACTGCAGCAGCAGGCTTGTTAAGGAGCTTATCTCTGTTCCAGTGGAACTGAGGACACTGACTTCTGCAGGTAAGCAGTTCTGTGTAGTTTTCTGCTGTCACTCTGGCTGCCCATCTTAGGCTTAACATACAGTACAGGGCACTGAGTAGTTTAAAACTTTTGATATTCTACTGCATATTCTGTTCTGCTAGGTATTCAGTGCAAAAGATCTGTTGTGCAGAGGCTGCTTGGATGTTTTTGAACTGTGTCTTTGTCCTTACTAACTTTTGCAGAGACTTTCTCCCACCAGGGTGGTGAACTGGAGAGCTGGAGAGCAAGAGAAGGGAAGGCTTGCTCTTACTGCTGTTCGTCTGTGGGTTGGAGCTCTGTCTGCCAAGGTGGTTGAATCTGAAAAAAACTGTTCCAGAAAATCACTGTTCTGCTTCCTCGGGTCACCCTGTATTCACAGGGACTGTATTCCAGCCTTGCTCTGTTAAGGCTTACCTTAGTTGTCTCTCCTGTCAGAATAATTTGTTCAGTCTCATATATTATTCCACCATTTTTATCAAAGACACAGTATCTTAACTACTGTGTAGCGTAATTGCTTTAATCCCTTTTACACACAAGCTGGAAGGTTGGTCCAGGCAGCTTGAAAAGGGTTGCAGATGCAGACTAAAATGTACTAATTGTCTTACTAGCAGCTGTCCCCTTTTGGTGGGTAAGATAGAGAATAAATGGTTTCCAGTTGGGCTTCATAAGTTAAGCTGTACCTTACTGTTGTTTGTAGTGACTGGAGCTACTTTCATCTTTGCAAGTGTATTCACATGCCGCTGATGAGTGGTGATGAGAATGGTAGTCTGGAACTACCTGCTGTAATCTGCTGCTGACGACAGGTCTGGAAGCTTGATGATTCCATGGAATATATTAAAGCAGGAAGATATTTTCTGAACTGCGCACGGATATCACAGGTGAGTCTAATAGGACTGAAACACAGAGCAAGTCCACTGCTAGCCTTGACTAATGCTGGCACCTTGACTGAAAACTTCCTTTTTTCTGCTGACTCCAAGGCTCTAAAAACAACGGCTTTCTAAATGAATTGATAATCTAATAAAGAAAACTCCATTATGTGAAATTCAGAGTCTTAAAAGTGTTAATATGAATTTAGTTGGATTTGAAAAATGAATATATTAGAGAGGTTTCTGCACACTTAATTATGGAATTTATTGATCATCACATTGCCCTGTCTTACAGGACATTTTATCTGGCTATAGGCATGTCTTTGAGCTGCAATCCAAGAAAATAGGCAAAGACTCAAATCCAAGGCCAAAGCAATATTACAGCAATATTAAAGGAGTATTTTATAAGCCGGGTTTCCAGAGGCTAAGAATATCTTTGCAGTTTTTTTATGTATTTCGTCTAGCTGGAACACTTAAAAGGCAGCTCTGTGGGTTTGGGTTACTTCCTCTAGCTCTTGTGCTGAGATTTTGTAGATTACCTTTTCTGCCTTAATTTTACATTCAAGTATGCTAGCTCACTGTCTCCTTTATCAGTGCTGTTACAGAATCACAGGCTGGCTGTGGTTGGAAGGGACCTCTGGAGATCGTCTGGTTCAACCCCTCTGCTCAAGCAGAACCACCTAGAGCCTGTTGCCCAGGACCATGTCCAGACAGCTGCTGAAGATCTCCAAGAAGCAAAACTCCATCATTTCTCTGGGCAACCTGTGCTAGTGCTTGGTCACCCTTATAGCAAAAAAGTGTTTCCTGATGTTCAGGAGGAACTTGCATTTCAGTCTGTGCCTGTTGCCTCTCGTCCTGTCACTGGGCACCACTGAAAAGAGCCTGATTTTGTGCTCTTTGCACCCTCCCTTCAGATATTTATGTACATTGGTAAGATCCCCCTGAGCCTTCTTGTTTCCAGGCTGGACAGTCCCACCTCTCTCAGCCTTTCCTCACAGGAGAAATGCTCTAGTTGCTTTTTGTTGAACTGTTCAGTGTGTGTCTCTCTTGGGGGAGCTCAGAACTACACTCGGCACTCCTGGGGTCTGGATGTTTTCTGTGTCTGAGAGTTATTTTGGATACTTAGACCTTGTCACAGTGAGCAGAAGAATACTCAGGGTTTATTTGGGCAAATCAAAGCCCTTGTCTGTTTTTCTGAACATTGACTTGTTTTCTTCAGAGGTCAGCATCTGTCACTTTGTTTTGTGACTTCATGTGACAATTCTGTGCTAACTCTGGCCTAACTGAGCACACTCATCCCTCTTTTTACTGGCTTTAGTTTCCCACAGTTGCTGCTTATCTCCATAGAAAATTGAGTCAGTCTGTGAAAACTGGAAGAAAACCTGGACACTTCCAATCCTTCAAATCTGCAAAGATCTCATGCAGCATTGAGAGAGAAGCTGCATACTCCTGCAACATCCTGGTATAGAACTTGCTTTGTTTAGCTTGTAATCAGGTGGCAGCCAGCAGCTAGGCAGTCTGAAATTACAATGAGCATTTGTGAAGAAGGGGGATGGAGAGGTCATGGGTTCATTAGAAAGCAGGGAGCCTGAAAACAACAGCGCTGTGCATTCGTCCTCTGAGCCTGTGGAACGTGGGTAAGTTTTAAGTAGCCATAAAACAATGTGGTGTGGCTTGCCCGTTTCTTGGTGCTGTGTTTGTTTCTGAGCAGCTCAGTGAGAGGGAAACATATAGATTACTGGCTTGTATTTCAGAATGGATGAGATGGGTGTCTGTTGTCTTTGCCAAAGAGGATTCCTTCAGTAGTAGCTGTCATGGGCAAGCTTGTTCCTCTGCAGAACAGTTGTTCTAATACAAACACAATTATCTGGAATGGTCCAAGGGGTGTACAGTCCAGGGGTTTAACACTTACTGCCTGTAACCTCTCCATGGCATTTGAAAGGGACACAGTGATCAGATTTCTCTGAATCAGAGTATAAATTGTGTCTGCATCTTACTCTCTGTGATGGGTTTTGGTGATACAAAATTGCCATTGCCTCAGTTGATAATACTTACGAGTTTCTGACAATTTTGTTACAATTAAATGGAGGAAGGACAGTGCTTCAGGACCACCGGAAAACTGAGGCATTTGTTGATTCCAAGTGGCTGGATGACAGATCAAAGACTCAAAAATACTGAATAACTAAACTTGCTGGTCAGGAGACAAAAAAATTCAAGCCTTCATGCTGTTATGGATTAGCTATATGGTTTGCAAACCATCAGCAATCATCTCTCAAAAGACAGCTGAACTGGCCTCCTCATGATTCTGAGTCCTGGCTGGATGGGTTTCTGTGGTTAGGCAGAGCTGTTGTGGACAAACCAGTTGTTTTCCACCAGCTGCAAGGACGAGGAGCAACATGGGATAGGAACGAGGTCTTATATTGGCTACATGAATTACACGTTACAACACTAAGAACTCCAGTTTTAATTCACTTTCCAACCTTTTGGCACTCTGCTGCTGCTGCTTGCCTATGTAATGCTGATTATAAACATCCATGTTCATGAGGGATCTTCTACCCAAGCTGTTGATGTCATATGCAATTCTCTTTAGAGGGCTGGACAGTGGCATTCCTGCTTAGGCTTCAGCAGTTAAAATACCACATGCACTTACCAGAGACACTGCAAAACCAGCCTCTACACAACAGGTTGTATAAGCAGATGCTGCCAGTGCAGATAATGAGAATGCATTGCTGCTTTACGCTCTGAAACACTGACAATAGCTGGGGAAGGAGGGCTTTCACTCCCCCACTTTTTTTCCAGCATATAAAGTCTGGTCCAGCTCCTCACTGGAGCTCATGATCTTCATGATATGGGCTGCTCTAAGGGAGCTGCTCTAGGGCCAGCATCAGGTAAGCACAATACTGCAGATGTTCTGTGAACAGCTGATGTTTGCTCCCTCTGGGATTGGATACAGGTAGTGTCCATGAAAACTCTGGACCACATTAAAGTACCTGAAGAGCAAGGAAGGCTTCTGAACAGGGAAGGAAGGAGAAACAAAATCACTATTATGCTATTAAATACGATTTTTTATTCTTTCTGATTTTATAAACACACAAACTTCTTAGGGAGAAACTGCAAGGACTTCTGCACCGCGTGTACATATGCAGCAGGTTCTCAGCCAGCTGACAGAAAAAACATTTTCAAAAGCATTTTAAGAACCTTTTTTTAAACAGGAATAGATGTTAAAGGTGTTTAGAGTAAAATTTTTCCAATGAGTTTTATTCTCTTGTGTTTTTTCTGTGCCTGCACCCTCCTTTCAGCTGCTAGGGAAAAACATCTGGAGTTTGAGATATCAAAAATACAGAGCTTCAGAGGGTCTGGAAAGCAAAAGCCTGGTCCCAGTTGTAGCAAGGCATTCCACCCAGGTATCCCTTGTGATGCTAGAGGATGGAAAGATCAAATGACAGGCCTCCTCACTGTCAGAACCTCAGTGCTGTTACTCCTGATCTGAGCTACTCTCACTGTAGAGAAATGCTGACAGACTTAATGGTATTGAAGTTAGTGAGAATCACTAAGTAAACCAAGACACGCAGGAAAAGGAACTAAAAATCCCTGGTGACATAAAGCCTACTAAAACGTTGAAAATAGTTAAGAACCAATATTTGCTGATTTTGAGAAAAACTATGGTCTAGAGGCTGCACAATTGTTCCTAGACATCAGGAAGGTGGTGGTGGTTCTGCAATCTGCTCTGAAGATGCGAGTTCTCAGTGAGCATTCCTTGTGGAAGAGAGGATGAAGTGAAGACAATAAGAGCTATTCAGTCCAAGATAATTGTATAGCAGCGGGTAATGGTTGCAGAAGGTTGTTTCATTTTGGTTGGAGAAGAAGTTCAAGTGTGGAAATAGCCCCTTTTATTCCCATGTCATCATCACGGCTGGGCTTCGCGAATGAAGATTTGGGAAGGGCTCTACCCACGTTTGTTGCAGGTGTGCTGGTGGCTAAAAAGGCCAATACGAGATAGGCATGTCCGGTTGCATATTCCCATGTACTAACACATTATTGGACTTCTGAGAATATCAGTGGTTGAGTTAGGTGTCAAAACAGACCATTAAATGCAGGACAGAGGGCAGTCTTATGACTGTTCCTCCACAGCTATCTTTCTGAGAGACAGGTTGGTTTTTCAGTTTCTCCAGTATCTTGAAAGTGTGCTAAAAAACTAGCTGGATCTATATATCACAAAGGACCAAAGAAATATAAAACACAGTTTACTTAGGCAAGTCTTCATTGGTATTTGACATACTTTCTTCCCAGGCCTGAGGGTGAGGATGAGGGTCAGATTTGACTTTTCATCCTAAAAGCTGATGGTGAATGCAGGACAGGAACAGTGTACCTGCAGCCACCAGAATGGGTGAAGGGATACACCCTGTCACTCTGCAGTGGAAGAGTTTTCCTGAAAGGTAGTCTTTATCTTCAGATGTGCCACGTGGCTGAATTTCAGCTAACTTGCTACCAAAGAATAAGCAGTCCCCCCTCTGTGCTAATTTGGCAGACAAAGTAGTAGATTAAGTCCCTTGAGAAATCCCCAAGGAATAAAATTCAAACAATTAACTGTTGGCCATAGCCAGAAGACAAAGATGCTAACTTATGAGTTTGTTTGCACTGCTCTGCAGGCTGTATGCTAACTAGACTGTTGTCTTTTTCTTTCATATGCAAAGCTTCTAAAATGGGACTCTGCCCTTTAGAGATGATGTAAAAAAGACTTGGTTGCCTCTACCAAGTCCGTCATGAACCACAATTTCGAGGTGTAGCCATTTTTTATTGTATAGGCTGCTTCCCTCGTTTCCACCCACTGAAATTACTACCTGCTATTGGTGACTACATCACATTCACTTTGTGGGTGGAAGCCTGAAAAGCTCGTAAACGTCTCATTTCACATAGGTGGGAAATGAGATATGGATCCCCAAGTGTTACCTATAATTTTACACACCATACACGTAATCCCCACCATACATCAAGAGATGCTTACAAATAATTCAGCTACACTCAAAAGTAACGTATAGGCTTACCAACAGAAGTGCTTAAAAAAAACAGAATTGCACATCACTTCCTATGAAGTCAGATGAAGTTTAGGAAAACTACAAAAAGATAATACTTCTATTAGGAAATGCTGAAGTGGTCACTAACTACTCAGAACACTACTCTGATTCATTAGCTGCTCTCATCAAAGAAAAATTTGGGGCAAAGTATTCCCTCCACCCATTAGGAATCTGAACAGTCCATTTCTATGATTATTCCAGGTACCTAGTATATTCTACGTGTAGTATAATCCAGTACCAGGCTAGCAGCTCCAAGAAGAGCAGGATCTGCTAGATTTGAGACCACCACATCTACAGTTTTAACAGAGGACAAAGCCTGTCGATTTATCACGTCTTTGACAGCATTAACATAGTGGTTAGCTAGAACTCCAGAAAGGATCACAAGAGAGGGGTTCACGGTGTGTAGAACGTTCACAACTCCAAGGCCTAATGCAGTCCCAGCTGAAAAGAAAAAGTAAAAAGAAATTAAGTATAATACTCAAAGCAGTTCTGGCATCTGTAGTTGAAATAGGTCTGTAAGCAGGAAATAACACTTGTCAGGAAAGTGTTCTGTTCCACAGGGCAGGGTTTTGGGTTTATATTATCAGACAATATCAGTTTGCCATTAATTAAGTAAAAGGACAAAAAAAAAAAGGCCTTTTTTTTTTTTTGCACAATAATGCATTAATCAATTATATGGACGTGAAATACAAAATGATACATTCATCACGCTTGTAAGCAAAGCAAAAACAGGAAAGCATTACTCTCTACTATCTTAAGTGTTATCACTACATATGAGGCAGAGGAGTCTGTTTAAAGCTAGTAAAACAGTAAAATATCTTGTGTAAAGTAATACATAAATTGTCTCTGCTAGCTCAGACTAGCCATTCACTTTCCTACAATGAAGCGTCCCCAAATTTTCCAATACGAGAATGTTGATGCTTTCCTTTTTTTTAAACTGATCTTTGCAGAAGCTTTTAATCTTGTTTATTGGAACAGATACCATGAATATACACTTCTGCTGACATTTCCTCCAACATTTATACTTGAAGTTTCATGACTGTTAGTAATTTTAATATAGGGTGTTCCTCAATGTGTAGAATGTGTTTGTAGTGTTGCAGTGCACTACTATTTCTGTATCCCCAAAAATATAATCATGGGAGTGTTCCACCCTTTAGGCTACGTTCTTACCTGTTCTGAGAATGCTCTCTGCTTTTGTATTCCCAAGCTTAGCTGCTTGAATAAGATGTGCAGCACTAACAATCTCCTCCTTCTTCATTGACATTCCTTCTACTAAAAGCAGATCATCTGAAAAGGAGGAGAGAAAGCCGAGAGCAAAACATGGTGATGTGGCAAGTCAAGAAAGAGACGGTGAAAAACCAGGCAATTAAAGTCTTTACAGCTCTTTTACTTGCATAATGAATCCTGAACAATCTGCATAACCCTGAGTTTAGCCAAAGTAATCATACCCATATTATTCAGGAAACTACTTGCAGAAGCAGGGAATCAAACTCAAACAGTTATAGTGTGGTAATTCACTAGTCTTGTCAGGCCCAAAAGTTAATAAAATATAAATGTTCTCAAACTTATTTAAGACTGAGAAGCTATTTCTGAAAGACAATCACTGTGAAACCAAACATCCACAGAATGTCTGTCAGATTACCTTACAGCATGGTTAAGAAGGAGAGTCTAAACTCTACTGTGTGCTTCTGGTAATTCTGACACCAGTGATTCCAAATGTTCTTTGCCACTGAAAAATATTTGTACTATAACAGGTTTACCAGCACACCTACTCTTGTTTCCTCGTAGAAAAAGAAGGCAGGTCTACCTTTAAAAATTTCTTCCTATACTGCATTTCAGTAATTGTGTTTTCAAAAATAAACTAAATAGATACCATCATGGAGTTTCTTGGCTTCCCTCTGTAATGCTATTCCTGAGGCATATGCTTCTATACATCCTTGGCTACCACACAGGCACTCTGGTCCATCTAAAGATACGACAATATGCCCAAGCTCAGCAGCACAGAAAGAACTGCCATGGATCAGTTCATGCTGATGAATGATTCCACCTCCGATTCCTGCAAAGGTATGAAAACTTCTGTGGTTAGAAAAAAGACAAACAACCGCCCCACCCCACAACAGTTTTTAAAGGCCCCAGTTCTGCAGGACTGATATTTCCTTATTCTAATACAGACAAGATAAAATAATTTGCATCAGTGATGATCTACACTGGAAATCAAAAATTACTGGTTACTAAAAGAACTCTTCTCCATTTGACACACCTAATAAGCAAGCTCACAGCTCCCTCCTATTCATATATGTATCAAAATTATATATAATGCTTATCTTTTCTTAAAAAGCCTATGGATGGTACTGAACAATGCCAGATCTTTTAAGCTTGTGAGTCATGCTCTTTATGCAGAAAACTGTCCTTCCAGGTGGCCTTAAAATTCTTAGAAGTTTTAATGCTGTATTGAGACAAAAGAGCCAGGACACTAAAACCTGCAGGTCTCTGCTGCCCCTTCTCAAACTCTGGCTCTGGATTGATCAGCTAGTTATTACTGCCACCATCTAAAGGACTATATACTTAACAAATGAGAAAAGTTACCCCACATTTGCATTTGAGATATACTAAGCATCATATCTCATATTTAGTTGCTTATATTCTAGATACATTTCCTGATCTGACTTGTATTTCTAAAGAGAATTAAGCTATAAAGCTGAAAAAATGCAAAATTATTCCAGCTAAAGTTGCCTAGATTTTCCTTACTTGCCTGCATAGCTGTATCAGGCAGAATTTCTTTTATCAAGAAGCTTAAACTATGGAAGAGGTTTAATTTTCCTGAATAAATTAAAAAGTACCCTAAAAGACACAAATAAGAATAGCAAAAGGATTTTTGGTTTAAGAACCTAAAATATTAGGGTCTTCTAGGCATAGTGGTAGTGTTTATATTTTTAAGATCAGCTGAGCCTCTAAGTGATGCTACTGGACTTTGGGTTTCATTGAACTGTAACACACCCACCTGTACCAGTAATGAGCGTTACAAAATTTTCTACTCCTTTTCCATGACCAAATTTCCTCTCTGCTAGAGCAGCACAGTTTCCATCATTGTCCACCCAGACTGGCAGGTGCAGAGCGTCAGATATTGGAGTTCTGAGATCCACAGAGCTCCACTCCTGAATGAGTTTTGTAGAGTGAAGCACAATTCCTTCTCGGGGGTTTACACGTCCACCTGTGGAAATACCTAAGTCCCAGAAACATAGGAGAGAAAAATCAAAACAAAGTCACTGTGATACTTAAGTAAAAGACCTGTTTTTCTTTTTGTAATGACAAGAATTTTCATTTCTAATACTAGGCTTTGAAGCAGAGCATGGAGTAAAAATTTCCTAAGTATTACTGGCAGTGCAACTTTTGACATGTAAAGGTACAGAATCATGGAAAGGGGGGGGTTGGAAGGGACCTCCAGAGATCATCTACTCCAACCCCTCTGCAAAAGCAGGTTCACCTAAAGCAGGTTGCACAGGATTGTGTCTGGGTGGGTTTTGAGTATCTCCAGAGAAGAAGACTCCACAACCTCTCCAGGCAGTGTGTTTCAGTGCTCAGTTACCCTTAAAGCAAAGGAAGTAATTCGTAGAATGCCACTGCTCTAATCACAATGCACCAAGTGTCCTTAAGACCGACTAGATAGGTATTGGTTAATGTTAAGTCAAAGAATTAATGTTCCTACTTCAGGCAAGATTGCAGCAAATCACTTAATAGTTGTGTTTCTTGTTAATCATGTACAAAACAGATATTAGCAAACTGTACAAAATAAATTATTCGAATCCTGAAAAATTACTAATGTCCTGAAGTCTGCTGTAACTCTCAAGGCTTAGGATGACCAGGATTTAGTCATCCTAGGATGACTAAAGATTCAGGAAAAGAATCACTGGACCAGTGATTTCTACTTAAAAATACACTGTTTTTGTGAAAAATCAAATCTGTTCAGAGATTTGTCTACTAACAGGCACTATTAGCCAAACCAGTTTTCCCTAGCTAGAGAGGCTTCCAAAGTTGATAGACTCTCTTGGGACCTTTGAAAAGCAGGGCATTATTATGGAGGTATTTAGCTCTAGAAATGAAGTTTGAACATTTTATTGTAGTGCTATTTCTCTACAGATGGTGCCAGGGTTAACATTATAACGGAAAGCAGCCACAAAACTTCTAAGACAAGCAGCTGAACCGAACATTAAAGCTGTAAGAGAGATCTAATTTGAAGATCTAACATTTCTTCTTATGGCTTTGTGTTCTTAACATGGTTTTTAAAGAATACAACATCTTCAAATTAACTTTTCTTGTGTGATTCAATTAAGTTTTGGTCTGGAACAAACTACTTTTCCTACAGAGTATTTCTCAGCTAAAATGAAGATTCTATGTCCTCCTTAAAAATTCAGGACACATTAATCAACACCCTCATAAATAACTGTAACATGTAAGGCCAAACGTCCCAGTCACCATTAAACTGAAGAAGTCCTGTCTGGTATAAACAGGTATTATACCTGTCTGGTATAATGTGGAACCCTACTGCAGGTGCAAGTAAACTGGAAGTCAGCAAAAAGGCTGCTTTTGTCTCTGTCAGCTGCAAATTTATTCCTTAACATTCTAGCCATTTTAGTCTGCCCTAGCATAACTGAGGACTCTGCTGCACAGTTGATCCTAGCCCTAAAGAAAGGCTTACAGATGGCAGAAGAAACTTGACTCAGCTGCAGTTGTTTCAAGAGCTGTTTTGATATTCATCTGATTCACAACTCCAAGACAACAGGGAGCCTCAAAATCCATAAAAGCTATGTACCACACATTTTACATATAGTTTACTTAGCTGATTGTTTTCATGGCTGTTACAAACTGGAGAAACCTCAGTCTTTATAGTCAGCTTCTCATTTTCACAGTCGTTTTAAAAAGCTTGTTTAATATAATTTATGATTCAAGAGCTTAAAATACAAGAGATCCATTTTAGAAAGATGTTTTAAAATAATGAGTAGTGATTTAATTCTTAGATGAAAAGACAAAGTTAGTATTTGTTAACTTACCTACTCCCAAAATCCTGCAGTTTACATTTACTGCCTCTGATGCAGCCTCTACACACATCTTTAGAATTAATTCCATTCTGTCTTCATAAGTTTTAGGGTTCAGCTGGGTATACTTCTTAACTATTTCACCCTAGAAATTAAAAACAACAAAAGAAATGTTGTTTTTAGAGAAATGTACTTAATGATGAAATGTCTCCTTAATTTAAATTACAGGTCAATTTGAAGATAGAGAGCTATTACTTATCTCTTTAAAAAAACAAAACAGATGCTATGCTTTAGATCTCGGGACTACAGGAAAGATTCCTGACAACTCTGGGGGACAAGTCTGCAGGATTAGGCATTACATTCCACTCCTGTAATCAGCCTCCCCTGTCTGAAATTAAATACACATTTTAAGGAACACATGGCTTGTGTAAGGAAATATCACCAGAGCTACAGGAAGTGTTGTTGGGCATAAACCGTGATATAGCAACACACTTAAGCTCAACACTAAAGTGTTAAAGAAAAAAAAAAGAGTAGCAATTGCTATAAAGAAGAGAAAAAATGCAGTGCTTTAAGAATAAAATATTTCCAGTTTGACTACATAAAAGGTTTGTGTGGTGTCACAGACACCGCTGTGGAGAGTCAGCCAAAGAGAAATGCTAAAAATTTAAAGGCAAAATTTACTATCCTTTCAGAAATAACTTTTTTTCTAAGCAATTATACTTCTGAGTCACTTGTAATATTTCTGGAGTACCCTCTACTGTGATATATCATAGAATCACAGAACAGTTTTGGGTTGGAAGAGACCTCAAAGTTCACCTAGCTCCAAGCTCCATGCTGTGGGCAGGGACACCTTCCACTAGGGCAGGCTGCTCAAAGCCCCATCCATCCTGGCCTTGAACACTCCCAGGGATGGGGCAGCCACAGCTTCTCTGGGCAACCTCTTCCAGTGCCTCACCACTCTCACAGTAAAGAATTTTTTCCTAATATCTAATCTAAACCCACTCTCAGTCTGAAGCCATTACCCTTTGTCCTGTCACTACATGCCCTTGTAAATATGTTGGACAGGGTGGGGAGGATCCGGGAGGAAAGGGTTATTTTTAACCCTAGGAGTCATGCAGTGGTAATAGAAGTATTCATTATGCATGCCTATAAGAAACTAATCTTAAAGAAATGTTCATCTTGCAGGACTAAGCCAGGGATCTGCAGAAGGTACACAGCTTAATAATGTTATTCTCCCTGTTATATCCCATGTACAATGTGTCTGAGTGAATTGCACTAAATTAATGCAACTAAGCAAAGAGGAGTAACAAACATGGCTGAGTCACTGTTGCCAAAAGAACTGTCAATGGTTTTGAGTATTAGGTCCCACCATCAGCATCACATGAGCAAGAGATTTTGTGGATTTTCTATGTTTAGTTTCCTCTTCGCTTTTACTTTGGAAGGGGAGGGAAATCAGAGGAAGTTGTTTTGGAAGACAAGGCTGCAGCAGACATTATGAGAAGACAAAACAGCTTTTAAAAGGAATTTTTGAAAACTCAGTTATTTGTGAGAATTACATCTCAGATTCTGCCATTTGCTGTTGAATGTCTACATCTGGTATGTAAATTTTATTATGAAAGTCTGATCCTGTTCACTCTGATTTGCTAGCATTTCAACTATCATAAATGCCAGCTCAAACTACACCCTGCAAAGTGGACAGAATTTTTTTAAAATTCATTTTCTTCCAGGCTGTGTTGACAGAAAAATGTGTCAATTTTACTTCTAAAAGAATTACACTTTTAAAAGTTGTCTTTAAGACTTCGAAGATCTGTCAGACGTCTTTTAAAAATTCTGGACTGTATCAGCTCACTTAACATAGCCCTTCATCTTTCTGCAGGCATCTTACTTTGCTCTCTGGGTAACTATATCTAACTGATGTAGTCAGCAGCTATGACCTCACAACAGCAAACAGGCTTTGCTAGGTTCAGTCTTAGAAGAGCAAATGAGCAGGCAAACTGCATTAAGACTTTAGGAGAGGTGCAACAAATGAGGGAAAAAAAAATCTTCTTCATCCCTCAACAACAAAAGTCAGTAGGACTACTTTGTTTTGGAGCTCTTTTGCATCATAAGCCCATATCCTCGCTGCAGGAACAGAACAACAAAAGCCAATGGAGTTTGCAGAATATCCAGAAATACAACTGAATATTTACCTTCATACTGACAATTGCTACTCGGAGATTTGTTCCACCTAGATCCACAGCCAGAGCACTCTGTGTCTCTAGAATATGGTCAATATCCTGAGAGATATTATCTTTGACAGGAGGAAAACAGAATTTCTTTTGCAACGGTTCTTTGAGGTCAATAGATTTAAGGAACTTCAAGATCCTTGGAACAGCATTACCATCTCCATATATTTTTGAGCTGTAATACATATAAAAAAAAAAAAATCCATGTAATTGGAAGTAACGTTGCAATCTGTAAAATTCTTTATATGACAGAAGACTGTAACACTGTGTAATTACAAAATTATGCTCTGGCTACTATGGCAGTACTGCAGCTCACACTACACAAGGCTGCCACAAGATATGGCAGAGTGTGATACTGAAGATCACACAATAGACTGTGCAAGTGTGGCACTAGCTCCATTTTGGAATACAAAACTGGAACGTAGAAAACTGGAAGTTAATGATGCCAAAAACCCCTGTAAAATTAAGAGTCTGATGAAGGAACCCACATCATAAAGCAAAATAACAACATAAAAATTATGGACAGTTTATGTATGTGCTACAGGCCCAAACCAAGATGTACTTATCACACGGATGACAACTACATAATAATAAACTGTACATTCATGTCAGCTTTCAACATGTACATCCATTTCTAAAATATCATCATACATGGTGTCAGACATATGGTATTACAGAATTAAGTTTTGTTGCTCTATTTAGGTTCTTAAGAAATATACTTTTGATTCTTGTCCTTACTTGGACAAATATACTCTCCTGAAGTTTACAAGAACTTATACATTAAAGAAATGAGGGTCAGTACTGTAGGGCTGAAGGATAATGAAAAGCATACTGCTATAATTCTGCAGCTTCCCTGGAAGCTTGCAATCAGGATTCTCTACATACCATGCCTGAAGTCAATTCAGCTATGAAGCTCTGTGTCACAGAATCAAAGAACAGTTAGGGCTGGAAGGGATCTCTGGAGATCATCTAGGCCAATCCCCATGCCAATGCAGGGTGACCTAGAGCAGGTAACACATCTAGGTGGGATTTTAATGTCTCCAGAGAGGGAGACTCCATGACCTACCTGGGCAGCCTGTTCCAGTGCTCTGCCACCCTCAATGTAAAGAAGTTCTTCCTCACTTTGAGGTGACACCTGTATTTTGGTTTATGGCTTTTGCACCTCATCCTGTTGCTGGGCACCACTGAAAAGAGTCTGGTACCATCCTCTTGACACCTCCTTTGAGATATCTGTATGTATTGATGAGATCCCTTCTCAGGCTTCTGTTCTTCAGACAGGCCCAGCTTCCACAGTCTCTCCTCATAAGAGAGATTCTCCAGTCCCCTAATCATTTTTGTGGCCTTCTGCTGGAACCTCTCCAGTAACTCCTTGTCTTTCTTGAACCAAGGAGCCCAGCACTGGAGACAGCACTCCAGATGTGGCCTTACTAGGGCTGAATAGAGAGGGAGCATCACTTTCCTTGACCTGCTGACCACACTTTCCAGTGCACCCCATGATCCAACTGGCCCTCTTGGCTGCAGGGACATGCTGCCAGCTCATGGTCACCTTGACATCCACCAGGACTCCCAGATGCTTCTCTGCAGAGCTGCTCTCTAGTAGGTTCTTATAGTCCTTCCACGTGGCCTGTCCCTTTTTCCATCATTCCATAGTTTTTTTTTTGTTTGGAGATTTACTAGAAGCCTCCTGCTCATCCACACATGTCTCCTGCTCCATTTGTCTGATTTCTTGCTCATGGGGACACACTTTTCTTGAGTTCGGCAGTAGTGGTGCTTAAACAATGACCAGCTCTCTGGGAATCCTTTCTCTTCTAGAGCCCTAATCCATGGGATTCCTCCAACCAGGTCTTTGAAGAGGCCAAAGTTAGCTCTCTGGAAGTTTAGGGCTCTGGTCCTGCTTACTGTTTTGCTTCCCCCATGCAAGATGCCGAGTTCCACCATCTCATGCTCACTGCACCCAAGGCTGCCTCCAACCTCCACATCTTCAACCAGTCCCTCCTGGCTGGCTAGTACAAGGTCTAGCCTTTCATCATTGGCTCCTCCACCACTCGCATTAAAAAGTTATCTTCAGTGATCTGCAGGAACTTCGTGGACTGTGCGTGCCGAACTGCGTCATCCCTCCCACAAACACCAGGCTGGTCAAAGTCCCCTGGGAGAACCAGGGCCTGTGACTGCAAGGCTATTTCCAGCTGCCCAGAGAAAGCCTCATCAACTTCCTCCTCCTGATCAGGTGGTCTGTAGTAAACACTCACAACGGTATCACCCTTATTAGCTTGTCCCTTAATTCTTACCCATAAACTCTCAACTTGTTCACCTGCCCCTGGGTAGAGCTCGATACATTCCAGTTGCTCTCTCACATAAAGAGCAACTTCGCTGACCTGTTCTTTCTAAAAAGTACATACCCATCCATGACAACATTCCAGTTGTGAGCTATCCCACCATGTCTCAGTAATTGCAATGAGATCACGGCCTATGACTGTTCTTGTTTATTGTCCATGCTGCACACATTTGCATACAGCCACTTCAGAGAGGATCAGGCAATGGGGTTGCTTGAAGGGGTATAAGAGGATTCACCACTGCCATAAACACCCTTGATGTGTTTAGCCCTATGATTCTTATCTTATTCTATGCACTGGTTGGTATGACCTACTCCCCAGGAGGAAGCAATGGCACAAGCATTGCCACTTTGAACCCCAACCCTGAGTCCTTCAGTTTAAAGCCCATTTCACCAAAACTGGCCAGCCTGCTGCCAAAGATTCTCTTGCCCTTTTTAGACAGGTGGATCCCATCACATCCTAATAGGATACAATCATTAAAGTACAACCCCTTGTCCTGAAAGCCAAAACCTTCTCAATGGCACCAGCCACAATGCCAAATGTCGAGCTGCATTGTGTCTGCTTCTGGCTGTTCCCATTTCTCTAACCAGTAGGACAGATGAGAAGATGACTGGGACAGTGATGCTTTTTATGTGCCTTGCCAGGCCTTCACGGTATTCCTTGATCCTGCTCATTTTTTGGCTTGTGGCATCATCTGTACCCACATGAAAAAGTGTCCTTCAGGCACAAGGCAGATGTAGGCACATGGGATGTTCTCCCCCCCACGCTGCTCCTGTGGAACAAGCTCTCTTAATCATGCTATCTAAGTTAACATACGAATTTTGTCCTCTTGACTTTCTGTTGAATGTTAAATTACTAGTTATATCAAAACATTACGAGTGACATTTTGCTCTACAAATATGAATGTGCATACCAGACATTGCACTATGATTCGGAAACAAAAATAATTTGTAACCTCAGATTAGCACGTTAAAAGCACTCCCATCAAATACAGTGAACCACCTCAGGACTAAATGCCTTTTACTCCACTGCTTTAACATCCCTTCAGATGAATTAAGACAACTGTACTCACCATGGATATTGCTTACCAAACTGAAGCTGTAGAGCATGCAAAATCTTATCCTGTGTATCAGCATCACGAACGTGAAGAACATTTTCACCTAGATGACAAAAGTCAACAAAATAGGACAGATCAGTTCCTCAAATTACATTAGAGAATAAGAACTGCTTTAGAAATGAAAAAAATTACTTTTCTTTCTTCTGAGGAGGAAAGATGCCCACCAGATCAACGTTGCTCTGTATCAATTATGTGCCCCCCCTTGCTCCCAATAAAGCAATGGTGACACCTATGATACAATATCCTGTACTACAGAACACAAGCAAGTGTTTCTGTTCCACAGAACTCTATTATTAACAATGCACAAATGAAAACGGGATAAATGGCTATTTGGGCCTTGTCTGTATTCCTGAAATCCCACAATACAACTACTTCACCTGAACTGTACCTGAAGTGGTGAACAGTTCATATTTTGGAAGTGAAATTTTTATACTTATCAAACATCAAATTAGCTATGAAGTAAAACAATTAGTTACCTATTCTGCTAAATGGAATTCACTGCAAATGGAGATATATTTTCACTTGTCTATAGATAAAAGCCCCATTATCTTATGTAACACACATAAGCAGGACTAGCATGATAGAGGTATAGCAAGTGAAGCTTCAAAATGGGTGAAAAATCACGTTGTGCTGATACTGCAAGATGGCCTCTATTAAGTGTTCATTTGACTTTATCCTGGGAAGGAAAAAAAAAACCCCTCAGAACCAGAAGGAAATCATTCAAGCAAACACGTACCTGTTTCTCTTCCCGTCTGACGTGTCCCCAGGTTAATGACAGGTGTACCAAATGCTCCCACCTCTCTGACACCACAGCTGCTGTTACCAATCATACAACCAGCATGAGCAACCAGCTGAATGAACTGGTCAAATGGGACATGCTTTACTGCCCGAAAATTGGGATGATGTTCGATGCCCTTCTTCCTCATCACGCGAACCATCTCTTTGCTTCCTGCAGAAAAACAAGGTAGAATAAATTACTCAAGTTCTATTTTAAAATGGAAGTCCAGACAAGTAAAGGAGACAGCACTAGCCATTCACTCAGTTGCCAGCTCTCAGTAAGTTTTGTTCTCTTATTATTTAAGTTGCATAGCTAGGTACATGAGCCCATGTTTGACCCAAAAATCCACTGCAAAAGCCTCTTCATAGTTTGAAGTTAATTTACGAGGCACTAATATTGCTCCTACATGTCACATGACTTCCCTTCTAAAGCACCCTTTTATGTGTCCCTCTGTCACGAAGGTATTCTACTCACCTGCATCCACATTAGGGAACAGAACAAGTGTTCTCTTGTTGAAGGAGATGAGTGCATCTAGTGTCAGCTCAAACATCTTTATGGAATGTTTAATATCTGTGGTTACAGGATGTTGCAGAGCAACTATATAATCTCTAGTTTTGACATCTTCACCTGTCCAAATGGAGGCAAAGAAAGAACTTTTTTAATTGTCATGGAATACCAAGAGGAAGGAAGGTCATACTTTTGAAAATACTGATGTGAAAGCCTGAAGAGTTAAGGCACTGAATGGGATACCTAACACGTAAGTATCAATGCTACAATAAACCTGAAGGGAGTTACAGGGTGATCTACCCTGTTATTTGCCTCTCTAAGCACATCACATAACTTTATAGAGACCACTACCTAAACCTCAACAAACCGTTAACTTGCAAGCCTACCTCTAAAGCTTTGCAAGACTATACCAGGATCAAGGAACTGTTCTCACAACAGTGTAAACCTGCAATAAATCCTGAAGCTGCTCTGGTTTTCCGTCACTTGTCCATCCTCAAGCAAAACTTCATTTCCATTTCTTTAAAACAGTCAGTCATACTTGTTTTAGTACATGTGATAGAAACTGATCTGCAAAACATACTGATCAAAAAAGACTCCAGCTTCCAACTACACAGGTTAGTGCGCCCTATAGGAGACTGCTTTGTTAAAGATAAAAAGAAAGCACAACCCCCCATTGTTTACAGGATTTGTAAGTCAATGAAAGTGAAACACCAAAACCCTTTGGTGCATGTTGCCTTGTTGCAGTGCATTGCTCAAAAAAAAGCTCGTAATACAAATTCTGTTAGATTTTCTTTTTATATTAGGCCTGAACAGCTTTGACTCTATTTAAACACATCCTTTACACGAAAATAACTGTTCATGTAAGACTGTTCTGTTTTTCAGTTGTTCAGCCCAGAGAAATTACCCATTTAAGGAGTTACTTTTTCGACTTGACAAAAGGAGCAGAAGTGTTCACCAGGACAGATTTGGAGCTTTTTGGCTATACAAGGCAGGCTACACAACAAAAGAAAAAGAAAGGAAACGTAGAAAGAAAGAAATACCAGGTACTATTATCAAATATATTGGTTTTTTTGACTGCTAACCTAGTTACTGAGTCTGTCTAGTGTTGAAAGTCACAGGAAAAACATAAAAAGCGGACTGCTTACCTAGCCACACGCGTATAATACTCATGTAGTCCTTGTTTTTGGCAGAGAGAAGCTTGTCATATGAGGGACAGCCCGCCAAAAGGATGCGGTCGTGGTCTTCACACATGGCTATCAAATGCTGCTCTGCACTCCTCGTGCAGCACACGTGGTAATGGGCCAGCTTGGTTATGGCATGTCTGATGGAGTCATCGATGGTCCCACTGACCTCCCCACCCTCGATGTGGAGGATGCGAATGTTCATCAGGGCTGCAGATGTGGCCAGGGCCAGAGCGTCGAATCTGTCCCCGTGAACTATCATTATGTCAGGTTTCAGGCGGTTGAGGACATCTGGTAACTTGACTAATGCAAGGCCCACTGACTCCACCATAGCTGCCTCATCCTCCCCTCTCACAATGGTGTGTAATCTTGTATGGATGTCGAAGTCATCTTGTTCAATCATACGATAGGTATTACTGAAGGTAAGAGAAGAAGGGTGAGAGTAAACACAACTTGGTTTTACAGCAACACAGCCTGACAAAATAAATGCAAATTGGAACAGCTGCACTGGGGTTTGAACAAAGGCTTGCTTATCACATCTCCTTCTTTAAGAAAAATTGGTTTTTAAGATTTTAACAGAATATTCTCATCCATGTGAAGATTCTCTCTCATATTGCAAGCATCAAGTTTTTCTAGACATCTTTAATGAGGAGATTGGCTGAACATGTTCTGGAAATCCTCAAAAATCAAACTCTTTGTTCATGTGTTTGCAGAGCCTTTCAGAGAATAGATATGGCACAATTTCCTTTCAGAAAAGGTATGTTTATCGACTTCACTGGACAACTGTATAAATACAACAGATACAACGCAAAGCTGAGGCCTGTATGCTCAAGGAAAACATCCTGCAGCTAGGATATATTATTCACATTCTATATTTGAGCTGTATCAAGACTCTGCACAAAGCCTTATGTTCAACGGAAAACAGGCTTTCACACCAAAGAAAAAAAGTTTTTCCACACATACTACCAGCTTTAGTCCGCAGTAAGAAAGTTAAAACATTCCTTGAATACTGAGAATTATTATTGTTTACAGTAATGTATGTGAAATAGAAGAGATCACACATCTGCATAAAATTACCTGTTTACAACAGTCGCTAAAACTGACCTTAGCAGTCTGCACACTACTGGAATTCCTGTCTGGACCGTGAGAGAAAAAACACAGAAGTTTTCCAATTTTGTTTTCAATCCATCCGACATTCACTGTCTTAGTAAAAGGATTACATTTTTAAACTGATTTAAACTGGATTTAATTTTCATTAAATTTACTCTTTGACTCATATTCTGCAACTTAGCAGTTCACAATCTGCAAGCTGAGCTGAGATGGCAAAGACTATAAAGTGCTCCAACTCAAGTAAAGAAGTGATCCCCATTCTGCATAACTAAAGGAAACTCTATCTATTTATCTATTTGATTCTGCTCACTGCTGTAACACAGGATATAATGCCTACAAGTAACTTGTAAGGTAATTTGTATTTCTTTTTGGTTTTTTGTTTTGTTTTTTTTTTAAAGGCAAATCCTTTTTGTTTTACTGAATGAAGTGGCTCAGATTTTTATAGCATAAAGCTGCATTATATTTCCAACTCCACTTAAAAATACCCTTCACATACCTGCCTTTTTCTCTATTACGTGCATTTACCTCAAAAAAACTTCCTTCTCTTTGCTTCTATTTTTTTTGCCTTTTGAAAGGTCAAAATCTAGGGAACAAATGTTTGTGCATTTCTGATGGTTTTGTTTCTTTTACTATCCTCCACACATTTCAGTGACAAACATTTCACAGGATCACTGTCATTTGATTTCTGCTGCTGTTGACTACCCTCCTCACATCCCTAGAACACATATCCCTAGGATTCCCCAGATTAAGGATTGCAGGGCTAGGTCCTAAAAAAAAAACAAAACCAAGCAGTACCTTGGTTTTAGGATGCTTATCACAAAGCAACTAACAGCAACATCATTTGTCAGATCAAAATCTCTATTGATTGCTTTGTGCATTACAACTCATTTATAAGAGAAACAAATGCTAAACACCTTGGAACTGGGAAAGAAGTATTTCATATTATTTTGCACAAGTCTTGCAGACAGCAAAGGATCATGGAATATAGAAAAATCAGGGCGATGTTTCTCCTCATTAGCAAATGAAAGGGATTATTGTATTTCTCCAATCAGACAGGATGCAATCCAACATGCTAACCTGTCAGGAAGTTTGTTTTTTTCTTTCTTGTCTGGTTTTGTTTCGGATCAGGTTAGTTTTGTGGCCTTGAATTCACCTTGCCATGTTGTTGGATGGAAACAATGTCCAGCACAAAGCAAGGAACAGAGCACTATAACATGCAGAAAGAGAACGGTCACCAGTGGAAATTCCTGTTTTAGCAGATTGACATAATATAACTTCCTCCCATCCTAACTTAAAAAAATGCCAAAATTTCTCATTGCAAAGACCAAAAAGTGTCTTTACTTGAAGATATGCTTATACATTTCTAAAAGTTCAGAAATGCTGATATGCTGCAGACTTTAAGCTAAAGTCTGATTTTGTCTTGCAAAGTAAGTGTTTTCCTATCTACTCCACTTACTGAGCCCAATCTGGCAAATGCAGCCAGAGGAAAACCAACCACAATCCCAGCAAGAATATGCATGCTGTTCCTTCTGTCCTTTTCACCTGGCATGTGGGAAGCCCTTCCAAAGGAAGGAATTTAGACCAAGACATTTCATTCTCCCAGGAAGGTGATCTGACTGCTTACTGGTGAAGTGTTATGGAGGGGGACCCTAATCTTCCCTGCCTGACCATACCTAATATATCTATCAGTTATTTATTTTGTCAGAAAGAGACAACCACCCTTTCCTACCTCCACGGTCCTGGAAGTGAGAACTAACAGTATTCCCCTGGGATATGGAATACGTAAGTACTTTGTCCAATAACTATGCAAAGTGGAAGAGCTGCAACTTAAAATGACTGAGGAGTATCTTTTCTCTGTGAAAATTGAAAAACTGTAGCACATTTTCATTCGATAATCACCAGATTCTTACAGAAAAATGAAGGAACTGAGTTTCTTACTTCATACAGTCTGTGATCCTGCTGAAGAGCTCGATTACAGCATTTAAAGAAAACTTTCTAAAATTCCAAGACTGGTTGAAAAAATCCTAGAAATATGCAATCTCAGAAGGAGCCACAAAATAAAACGGAATCTGAAAAAAAATCTTAGAACTTTGTTGCTTACACTGACAATCCCAAGACTCTTTTTACCTAACATTCACGGTATCATTGCTAACACCCCAGAAACAGATCAGTAGAAAGATAAAAATTCACCTTACCCATAATCATCAATCAGGTGGGAACCAAGCACTACGACATCAAGCTCAAAAAACTGTGGTTCTGCCTTAATACCAAACATAATGGGAGCTAATTTTGAATAATCAGCACGGTTGCAAGTAGCAACACAAACACGAAGTTTGTGGTTGTTTCCATTCTTCTCCATGACTTCCTTTTGTTTCTGTTTCGAAAGATTCTTGAAGTACACTTCCTGGCATAACAGAGAAAAAAAAAGTGTGTCATTAGTAATAGTCATTTACTTGCAGTAAAGGGTACACTTCATGAACAGTACACACAAGTACAGTCCAGAACTGTGGACACACAGTAACCAATCCATTGATAACAGACAATTAATACCTTAAAGTACGTATCATCAGAAAATTTTAGAAAATAAGACTTTTTTTTTTAGTTAAAACTCAATATCCCTATTTCTAGAAATAATATATAAAAACTCTGTGTAAACCATATTTAAGTATTATGAAGTTCAGCTGTAATTAAACAGTAATTTTCCCTGTTCAGATGGAAACCTCTGAATAAGTAGAAAAATTACTGTGCCTTAGCACGAAAGAAAGAAAATCTCATATTCCAAAACCACAGAATGGAACAAATTGCTCAGATGCATCCACTGAGAGACTCCATGAATGAAAAAGAGAAAGTTTTTGACTGAGTTGGTTTACATGTCTTTGTTAAACACATTTTGGTCAGGTAAGGCAAGTTAAACATTGACTTCTAAACCCTTACATACTGCTTTGTAGGCCAAAGTACATTAAGATATTCACTAATACAGTACTGGGTTACAATAAGCCTGTTCAAAAATATACATATATATATATATAAATATATCTATATATATAAAATACCCCCAAATAACCCAAATTTCCTCTCCCCGCAAACAGAAATTACGAAAGTGTTAGCAAGAGTTTATCTGACCCACCATTTATAAGGTGGTGTTTGGGTTTTTGTTTGTTTGTTTGTTTTTTTGTTGTTGTTTTGTGTTTTTTTTTTTTCCCCTCCTTTCAAACATAACAGTATTTTAAGTAAGTGTCATCCTTTTGGTATGAAATCTAATGTTATGTCAGATTTTCACTCCATTTAAAACGGCAAATAAACTTCTTCCAGATTAACGCACAAGGGTTGCTTATCTCTGACTCAGAGCAGTATCAATCTCTATTGGTTTTGTCAGCTAGGGAAGCTCTTTCTGAGCAGTTGCTACACAAGCATGACAATAGTAAAAGAAGCACGAAATTGCTCCTTTTAGTATTGTCATGTGTGTATTGTCATTTCATACTCCTTTTAGACTACACTTAGATTTTTTCAGTAAAGTTCCAAAAGAAAGGCTACTGTGACATCTCACTCTTAAGAAACTTAGAAAATTCAGCAATTTTTCAAGATTTCCCTATTTTTAACCCAGATTAGTTCAGGTTTTATCACACAAGATGAGAAGTGATGCTTTGGTATAATAGTAATGTTAAGGTGGTCAGGAAACTATGCCAGATTGTCAAAGATATTTCTGATCTCCACTTGCAATTCACTATGGCTCAACAAAACTATTGACTGCTAGTCATGTTTTCTCTAGTTAAACTCCAAAAACTGTGGCTCCTGAAAGAGTGGTTTACTCTAGCTTTCAGAATAAAACTGAGGTGACAAAAAGCAAAGATGGCTCCCATGACTAAGCTCATAAGAAATGGCATTTACTCAAACAAAGCAGACATGGCTACTCCATACAACTTCAGTGGAACAGACACAGCCTGGAATTTCAGCTTTTGATTACCATGATGACTACTTAAGCTGGGTTTTATGGATTCAGCCACAAAGTAATAAACATTATTTCGTTTATATCAAGCCCCTTCATTTGGATTTACATTTGAATGTTACATAAACAGTAATATGTTAATTAATTACTGTTTTACACTTCCAAAGGATCAGATGATAATCCTTCAGGAAAATTAATTATTTATTCATGCTGAAAGTATCTGCACCTATGTGCATACATGATAGCTGTTTCAATTTAATCTTGCCCTTCTTTTTGTCCAGCATGCTTGAAATATTTTAATGTACGTAAGAAATTCAGTAACTCACGTTGAAAATGTAGGGAGAGTAGTTTTCAGGATTTTAGATGCTGTATAAACATGAGTCAGAGAGTGCGTTATCCTGTATCACTGAGTGAAACCTCAAATCACATTAGCCAGACTCAGATATAACTGAACCACTGCTTTTCCTCATTTCTAAAACAACCTCTTTCTGGAGCTGGTTTTGAGCAGGACATCCAGTCATTATAAATGTAAAAGCAGACACTAATTAAAATAAAACCATGTTCAAGATGTGAAGACCACTTCTGACACATCTATAAGCTTGTCTCTGAAACTGCACGAACAATATTAGAAGCAAATCTCTCAGAAGACCCTTCAAGTCAGCCACTGCTCCATACATATCCTATACTGTATGAACTGAGAAGCTAAAGTAGAAGGGCACAGAGTAAGGAAGTGACAAAGCAAATTTACCCAGAGTTTGCTAATTCCAAGTTACCTGCCTCAGCTAGGACCATCATGTCCCTCTGACAAAGCAGTTACTTCTTCATTTATGCAATGAAGGCTTTTAAGAAGTGGAAAAATTTCTGTCCTCCTTTATCTTCAAGCATTGCTTAAAATTCTACAATCCTTGAATCCAAACCCAGAAAATACCATCTCCTAAAACAGCGAGTCTGTTAAGTTGTAAAAAAAAGTATATCTCACGCTGCATCATACCTAGAGATCCAACAGAACTGAATCACTAGACCACATATCTTTCCAGCCACACAGAGCACATTCAACTACAGTTGGTTCTGGCTGCAGTAAGCGTCTCTTGAAATAATTTTGGAGGCAGATGTGGAGACACTTCAAATACATATGAATTGACTAGAATCAAAAGCAATTCCTGGTATTTGTGCACTTCAACTTCTGCTAAATTACAGTTTCAGTACGCCCCAAAGCAGAATTATTTTTAGTACAGCCTTATAACTCTGTACCACAATAGTTTCAAAAAGCTGCCAAGTAAGCCATGCACTGCCCTTGGTGCAGTTTTTCTATTGCTGTTCATTTTAAACACCTGAAGAACCACAATATTTATCCTAGCAAAAGGGAGGTAATAATGCAATATAAGTGGTAACTCTGTGTGGAAATTTACCACTAATTAAACTAGTCTACTGCTTTTCAGGTTAAGCTGGACATTTTCTAAAGGAACATGTGATGTATGGCTACATACAGTTCAATAACACATATAATTCTATCCTGGCTCTGACCTATTCTGAACCCAAAGCAAAAATAATTCTGTATTTTCAGATAGCATTCGCTGCCAACAAGTAATGGCAAAGTCCCTTCAGCCACTAATAGTAAATTCCTTCAAGCAGAGCTGTAATGTCCTAGCTACATAATTTTGTTGCCACTATATTTTGGAATTTATTAACAGCTTCTGCAGGCAAATCATCTATTTTCAGAACTGTTCACCAAAATTACTTGAAATAATTAATCACTTCAGCTGTCTCTGAGTTTCCAGGTGTTTGATGATATACTGAGTTTTATCTACACAGCATTCTCTAGCCTGGGGATCTTCCTCTTCCAAGATCTACCTCTTCCACCTTGCAGGGACTAACAATCTTTAGCAGAAAGGAAAAGAAATAAAACAGTGATCCATGAAGGACTACTTGAAATAATTAATCTCTACACCTTTGGTTTACTGCTCTTCCATATTCCATCCTAAGGCTTTTAGACTATTGGAGGTTCAAGGACTTTCTGAGACTGGGAAATTCTGGGCCAGCCTTTGAAGTGACCAAGGAAGCTACTGTTTCTGTTAGTAGTCTGAAGTGCACTAGATATGTCTTCATCAGTGTTTCATAAAAAAATTACACTATGTGTATATTCTACATCTGCACCTCTGAAGTGATGTTTTTCAAAATCAAAGAGCCTGCAACACTCCCACAGTCTCTACACTCTGCATATGCCTGTGTGTTTGGGGTCATTTCATCTTCCCACTCGCTTTGCTGCGTGGCAAGCATGCAGGATATTCTGCCCCAAACTCCATGCACCAGTATGTGTGTTCCCGCCACCCTTCTTTACCCATGGAGCCATCAGTTCTACACTGCCTGCCTGCACACACACTCCGGGCCTGCTCCTGCATCCCAGTGGAGGTGACTACACACCCTTCAGACACCCTCTAACACCTCTGTGTGGGTGGGAAAGCACTTATCACCCTGTGTGCGTCCTAGGGCAAGAAACCCTTCCCACCATTTTCCCTCACGGATGGGACTGACCTCTTCACTGGGTCCCTTCCTAGTGTGAGGGATCAACCCCCTATGCCTCTCCAGCATATCGATATGCTTAGAATCATAGAATATTCTGAGCTGGAAGGGACCCACAAGGATCACTGAGTCCAACCCTTAGCCCCGCTCAGGCCCATCCCCAAGAGTCACACCATGTGCCCGAGAGCGTTGTCCAAACACTCCCTGAACTCTGTCAGGCTTGGTGCCATGACCACTTCCCTGGGGAGCACGTTCCAGTGCCCAACCACCGCCTGCATGAAGATCATTTTACTAATATCAAATCTAAACCTCCCCTGCCACAGCTTAAGGCCACTCCCTTGCTACCCACGTGCAGGGGCTGCGCTGGTACTCCCTCCCTTCCACATCCCTCACAGCCCGGGAAAACCCACGCCTGCACCCCCCGGACACCGCCCGTGCGCACCTTCCCACTGCGGGGGCTGCGGAATCCCGCACCCCTGGGACACGCACCTTCCCACTGCAGGGAATGGCTAATCCCGCACCCCTGGGACGCGCACCTTCCCACTGCAGGGAATGGCTAATCCCGCACCCCTGGGACGCGCACCTTCCCACTACAGGGGCTGCGGAATCCCGCACTCCTGGGACACTCTCCCGCCCCCCGCCCGCTCCGTGCCGGCTCCAGGCGCAGGCGCTGCCGGCGGGGCACTTCCATCCCGATCTCTGCCCCGCCGCTCCCTCCCGCCCCCCGCTCGCTCTCCGGCGCGGCCCGCCCTGCCCCGGCCCGCATCGGCGCCGCGGTCTGCGCGACCCCGGCCCCTCCGGCTGTCGCAGAGGCTCCGCTTCCCGGTCACCTTTCCCCGCGCCGAGCCCGCAGGAAGACCCGCCTCGGCAGGAAGTGAGGAGCGGCTTCCCGCGGGCCGCGCCCCTCCCGCCGCGGGCCGGGGTCTGCTCGGCGGGGC